CTGGTAAGGGAGGGCAACAGATAAAGTGAATAAAGATTTAACAGGGGAAACATATCATGCATTTGATGCATTAGCACATAGCATTGTTAAAGAATATGTTCCTACTTCTAAAATCCCCCTTTAAAAGATGATGTAATGGTGGCTCACTGAATATAACATGTAATGTAATGCAGCATGGTAAACTGGGGTGCCATTTTGGCATGTGTGGTTATATAAAAGCCCCTTGCACAGGACTAGCAAATATAAAGTTGTTTGTTCAAAACCATCCATTGGTGCTGCAAAAGGAAGGCTTGCTGACATCTTCCATAAGGATTATAACCGAGAATACCCTATGGTTCTTGGTTCTACCTGCCATTGAGATCAACTCAATGGCAGCAGTTTGGTTGGTTGGTTGGTTGGTTTTGGCTTTGTTGTAAGATGGATTCATGGGAAATATTTCTTGGGCAGAGTCAAGATGTACATACAACTCTTTCAAATATGACTGATCTAGGGAGGTATATGACATGTGAATTATCTCTTAAGAAAAACAAATATATTCAGAGGGTGGTAGTATCATAATCCTACTGAGACTTGTCATATAAGAGAATATGTTAAAAGTTGCAGCCATGGGGATACTGGGTGACAGGTGCTCTATAAACAGTTGAGAAGGAACACACTCAGATAGACTGAAAGAAAGGGAAATGTAAATGCCCAAGGACAAAGTGATTGGAGTGTGCTGAGGGATCAAGAACGTGTAACAAGGTCCCACACAAACAGGAAGATCCTGGCCAGACATCACCCGCAAATAGAAAGAGAAAGAGGCCTAGCAGCAGTCTATGTTAAACGTCAGACTGCTAAATGTAAGGTTGCCATTTCAAACCCAGCCGCTGAAATTTCATGGAGAAAGATGAGTCTGTTTGGTCTTATTAATTAAAAAAAAAAATTAGCCTCAGAAAGCTTCATACAGGGCCACTGTGATTTAGGATTGACTCAGTGAGAGTAGTTTTTTTGTTTTTAAATGGACAGAGAAAATGATACAATAGTGAGCTTGCTTGGGATTTATTAAATGCTAAAACCTGTTAAGAACCTGGCTAAACATCACTCACTCTATATGAAAAAAATGAGGTTCTCTGCTCCTGAAAGATTTGTGGTCTCAGAAATCTATAGGGCTCAGTTCCGCTCTGTCCATAGGTGCACTTTGGGTCAGAATCGATTCAAAGGCAATGAGTTTGTATTTTAGGAAATCCGTAGGCCGAAGGCTTCCTTCTGGTCCCCTATAGATGACAGGGTGATTCCCTAGCGATTCAGTGGTAGATTTTCTCCTTTGATGTGGGAGACTTGGGTCAGCGTGTGGACCAATGTCCCCCACGGAGACCTGTCTTATCAGTGGGGGTATGAGTGTTTCTTCAGAGTAACTTGATGAGATAGTTCATACGTCCACATCGCAGTCCCTTCACACTTAGGAATCCTGATGCTCTCTAGGTTCGTGCAAGTGTAGATGCTTATGTGGCTTTGCTAATCCCCCACCTCCACACTAAGGGCAGAACCAAGGTCTGACCTTCTATTTCTAAAAAAAATCACCCCCTGAAAATCCCTTTGATCAGAATGGGTTAATCACATGGTTTACGGGGTATCCTTGTCTAGCTTCCTGCCTAATAACAATCAGGTGAAACCAGGCAGAGGACTTGTGGGCAAAAGGGACACGGAAACCGACAGACCCTCTGCGTACCCACACAGGGGGTCTCATGTCTGTGAAACGTCTTCCTTTCTATGATAAGACACGTTTTATACGGTTTACTTTTTAAAGAGCTAAGGCTTAAAGAGATTAAATAATTCCCCCCATATCACACAATTGAGTGACAGCTTTTGGATTCTGGAGTTCATATTCCAATTTCACATTATACATATTAAAAATAGCAGGTATTATCACGCCCTATTTTTAGAACATTTCTTGAACAATAAAAATGCATGTGTAATTGTCCCAATTCATAAACAAACCAACAAAAGATTTGCAGAGGAAAAATGTCAATTGGGTCACATTGATCAAATAAATTTTCCTATGTGTGTTACATGGATATTTGGGATAGTGTGTCAGATACTAGATTGCAGATGGGAGATCATTTCTAATCACAAAAGGAGGAGGGTTTCACCTTTGGTATAAAGGAATGGAAATTACTTCCCCTGACAGTCTGTGAGCCTTAAGTCAAGCCCTTTTACTGTCACTGCCATTTTGAATTGCATGCTCAATGGGACTGGGAAAGAGGAAGCCTCACCAGTGACATACAGGGATAATAACCTCTTAAATATGAAAGGCAAGAAAACGTTCATGCCCAAGCAACTTAAGAGAGAATTTCCCATAATTGTCTATATTTGTTCATGTCTGTTAAGCAATAATACAGTGAAATGAATGAACAAAGAAGAAAATTAAAACCATTCCTAATACTAACTTCAGGTAATACTTATTCTGTCCCCATAAAAGTCCTTTAACAGTTATTAATCCTATTGCATCAAGGATCCATGTGGGTGTAGAGACTTAAGTGACATTGCTAACCATCTGTTTCCATCCACTTTATTCTATAGATTTGTTACAGATTAGCACACGCATGCCCATACATGAATGGCTTAGGCATGTGTTTGATACGTGTGCAAGTGATCTGGAGCTTTACGGCTGTTGTAAAGTGTATAGTTCCTGAGATTTCAGAATCATCTGCCAATTTGATATGATGGTGGTTCCCCGGGGCATTTACACTTTACACAAATGATTTGCACCTTTATTTCCACGTAATCTGACTAACGGATGAAATGCTTTATCATAGTTTTGGAAATGAGAGAGCAAGGCAAGAAAACCTGAAGCATCTTGTCCAAAGACACACAGCCACTAGATGATATG